GTCCCACATTCAAAACCATTGGGATGTAAGAGCACACATGCCTCTGTCTGGTTTCTGTATTTGTTATGTTCTCTCCTCTTATGCTTTCCAGTTATTTCTTTATTCTTTCAACTTTCTTCAGGTTTTTATATGTGCTTCATTTTCTTTCCCTCGAGTTTAGTTATTTTGATGGGGATTTTCAGTAGAGCCAAAGACTGTATGGCACTGTCACAGAGTGACTGGCCCCTGTGAATGAAGTAGGTCCAGTACCCCTTGTGCCAGGACAGATGTGCACATTTGACCAGTTAAGAGAGTGGGGCTCCAGTTGGGGGCTATCAGGAGCTGGGAGAAACTCAGTGAGTTGGGAGAGACTTGGTGAATCAGAGCTGCCTGAGTAGGAGTCATGGATAGGTGAGAGCTTCTAGAGACTATATGTTTGGAACTTGGGAGAAGGCTGAAGGCAGGAGAGCAGTAAGAGGGGTTTTCTGGTTGGTGTCCCCAGGCCAAAGAGCCAGGGCTGAAGTCAGGAGGAGCAGTGCAGGGAGTTGCTTGCTAGCTGTAAGCTACAGAGCTGAGGGCTGGGGAGCAGTGGATGAGCTTACCTGATGACCTCTCCAGGGCTGAAGAACTGGAACTAGAAAAACCATTAGATGGCCAGGAGGAGTAAGGGATGCTCCCTTGATAAAAGAGGATTTCCCAGCAGAGAGTCTGGTGGGGTTCCTGCTGGCAAGACTAGGCTTACACTCCAGTAGGAAGAATTGGGATGGTTGTACTGGCACAAGGACAAGGGAGGACTGCCAGAGACTCTGGATGTGGTCAAAGGTGCTGGTGTATGATATGTGGGGTGTTGTGGGCTGAGATGTTGGATGATCTTAACACTGTTTCCAGTGGGGTGACAAATTATATGTGCTTGGGACTCACTTGTGGACAACTTGCACAAATATTTTATAAGGAGGGTAGTATTGTGTCAAGAGGGCTTGATGGAGTTACTGGGAACTCTGAAAAAGGAAACGGGCAGGTGTGTCTGTCATGCTATGGGAGTCCACTCCAGTTGGGGCGGTCCTATAACATGTACCAAGTTCCCAATGAATTTCAGTGGCATTTGGGCATCTGATTTTCTTAGGCTCCTTTTTAAAAATGACAGCTGGGATTTTCAGACAGTCTTCTTATGTTTTGCTTGCTCTCTTGTTTTTCTTTCCCACGTTTTAATTTTAATCTATGTGTTTTGTGTAACCATTTCCATGACCACCACAATCTGTGCTGCTCGCTCAGGGCCTCATCTTGCTCCTGTTAAAATCAGAGAGAGTTCTCCAATTGACTGGAATGAGAGTAGGTTCAGCTTTTATCTTGATAAGTCAAATTTTCTTCAAACAAATTATAGGGACAAAAGTTTTAAAGCTAAATGGATGCTCCACATGCTGAAGCAAGTACACACTGGGCTCACCACAGAATGTAAGGCAGTAATTTGTGATTCAAATGTATTAATGAAATATTTAGTACATTTTGCCTCTCCTTCAATAGGACAATGTCTAGATGTTAAAGCCACCTTGTAGAATCATGAACAATTAGTGTATAATCTCACATTATTACTGGGGTAATTGAAAATGGTCCAAAGTTTATTACAAATTCAAGAGGGAAGCCCACAGTATGTGAGAGAGAGAGTGAGAAAGCACAATAGTTGATTCGTATGGAAACAGCAGATTTGAATTTTCTATTATTGCTGCACATTTTTTGACAGTACTGTGCAGATACCACAAACTCTAAGGAATGCATTGAAAGACTTAAGTATTTATCATAAAAGAGCTTGATTTTTTTAAAAAAAGTATGTTGCAATTTAAGTAGACATGCTCAATCATTTGTGGCCTGCGTTTTCTTCTCCTCCCACTGGAATCTATTGGAGTTTTGCTATTGACTTCAGTGGCAGCAGGATCAAACCCAAGGTGAACAGATGTTTCTATAAATGTGTACATTTCTATTCATTCTAATGTTTCTTGTTATGATCCCAGTCCCACAAAGCACTTATACAGGTGCTTAACTTTAAGCATATGAGTAACTGTACTGAAATCAATGGGATTGCTCACCTGTTTAAATACCTGCGTTAGTGCTTTGCTGGATCCAGCTTTAGAGGGGGATTGCAACAGTAATAACACTTACACTGCTGTATTTTTCCTGAGAATAGCTCAAATCATGGAAATATTATTGTCAGTGAGAAAAAATCCTTATTTTCAAAGAATTCTATATTGTGATTTTTCTCCAGGTCTGGAGAAACAAAAGTACTGGCTTTGATGGGAGCCCTGTATGCTAGTAGAGGGCAGAATCTGGCACATTGTTGTCTTTGTTTCACTACTCACGTCATGGCACCTTTCTACCCTCTCCACTGCAAATCAAAGCAATATCTTAACTATATTAAGTGAAAATAATCGAGAAACAGGATCATGAGTCATTATTAATTTTGTCAGGTTCTTTTGGCTTTGTGTCTAGATCCAATACAAATGATGAACATAATTTCTCTAAAAATCAGATAGAAACTGATCATGATGTTACTGTACTCAATGTACAGTAAATACCTTGTTTACTGTGTGCTTTATAAATGATGGCAGAAAAATGGAAGGTTATTTCTTTTAAATTAAAACCTATTTTCATTTTAAAATCATCCTCACATCCTTGGCTGCAGAGATCTCATTCTGAACAAATTATTTTTAATTAGTAGGGTTTCCACTACAGCCAATAGGCTATATTATTATAATATAAATTAATCCAAATCATAACCTTTTTGTACTGAGCATGGTAAAAATAACATTTTTTCTGAATTATGAACATAATTGAATTTATTAGTATCCCCAAGGATAATTGCTGCTTGAGCAAGGACAAAAAAGAGCTTTACTAGAGATATTAAAATATCATGTATCTGTCTGCCAAAATATCATATTGGATACACAAAAGTACTGAATATTTATTAATAACACATTTGAACATTACATACAATTATCATACATTTTGGGAAAAGAACTCATTGTATGCTGACTAGAAGAGAAATCACAAACCAGTAGCCTGAAAACTGTGGTGTAACGTGGATTGTCAAAACCAATTGGAGTTGGCTTAACTCTGCTATATTGAGGTGAATAGCAAAGCCGCCATCTATAAGATACACCTAAAGATTTCACATTCTTTGTAAACTTTGACTTTTTTTTTTTTTTTTTTTTTTTTGCCATCCTGGATACTTTTCTCCAATGATTTCTACTCTCAACGTTGCATTCACCTTATACATTTTGGTCTCTGCCTGGTCATATGTGTACAGTAGTTCTTTCTGCATGGAAATCTGTAGGAAGCCATTATCTACAATAATATTAAGTACATTTGTTTGTTAGCTGCTTTCAGGGGTCTGTACTCCATCCACCTCCTTCTTGACTTCTCAGTGGTCTTTGATGTCAGTGATGATTTCCTACTTAAAATCCTGGCCTCCATTGCTTTTGAGGCATTGTTCTATCCTGGTTCTCCTTCTAACCTTCCTCTTTCCTCTATTTTCCCATTACTGTTTATAAGACCACTATTTTCTCAATCACTCAAGGCCACAATCTAGGTGTTATCTGTGAAACTTGTCCTCTCTCTCTAAGACAGGGGTCTCAAACTCAATTTACCTTAGGGCCAATGCCAGTCCTCAAATCCTCCCAGCGGGCCAATAATGTCACTGAAGATGGTGTTCAGAAAAGAAAACGTTTATATTGTATTTTTTATTTCGAATTTCTTAGAAATAATAAAACTGACATACAACTTTATACAATTCTTCGCCAGCCAGAGAGTTTTTAGTGTTTGCCAGACACCTGGCAACACTTCAGTTCTGTCAGTTTGTTGATGTTTGACTGAGCAGTTGAAACCTTCAGGATTGCAGCAAGGTGTGCATCAGATAGTTGTGTTCGGTATTTTGACTTGTGGAAAAAAGTGATGCTGCCTCCATGGCTGATTCTGCCTGGCAACTAATGATGGTGCCTCCATGGCTGAATCTGCCCAGCAACTAGTAATGGTATCTCTATCCCTCTATCCCTCACTCTGCGGGGTGCAGCACCTGCAGCAGACTTTGCCAACAGCGTGGCTGCATGCATCTCTCCTCCGCGGGCCGCAGTGGGGAGGTTCTCGGGCTGCAGATGGCCCGCGAGCCAGGACTTTGAGACCCCTGCTCTAAAACCTATACATTCAGGCCACGTCCATGTCTCCCAACTTCTATCTACATGATATTTTTAAAGATCCATTTTTTTCTGTTTTTCCAGACTACCCAGGCTCTTGTTCAGGCCCTCATTATCTCATATCTTGACTACTGTAATCTCCTACTATCTAACTTTGATGCTATCCACATTGGTCCCTTAAGTCCATTCAAAATGTTGCTGTTAGGATCATCTTTCTGGTTGTTGCTCCAACCACATCTCCTCCTCCTTTGTGTCCCTTCTTCACTGTACCAAACACACTTTCCTTGGCATTAAGGACCTTCACCATTTAGTTCCACACTATCTATCAAATTTACTAACTTGTTGAGCTATTGACTGCTGCTATAGCTCTCCCAAAGATGCAGGCCTTGATAGGCCTCTTGTTTGTTTCTCCCTCAAGCAGAGTTACAGACCAGCAGAGTCACACTTTCATTTCTCCTTTTGCTATTCTGTAGTTTTTCCAAAGTTGAAGACGTTATGAAAAGTTAGAGTGGAAAAGGGGGAAAACTGCAAAGGAAAAAGTGGAGGGGGGAAAGAATTCAGTCTTCATTTTATTGCATTCAATAGGAAACAGAAAAATAGGGAAGAAAGAGGGGAACAAATTAGAAATTTTGAAAATTAAAAAAAAATAAATAAAATATTCTGTAAAAAATTGAAGAAAACTGTGCCATTACCTTGTGAACAGAATTTAAAAATTTCAAAAAAAAATTGCTAAACTGTTTTACTATCTCTAGATACAATAGATATTTTAGACTATTTTGAGAAGTTTAAGTCATTAAAACTGTGAAAAACTAAAAGGTTGTGTCTTTGATTATATCTTAGGTCCGGACGTGGATTCTTACAGTGGGCTACACAACTGCATTTGGAGCAATGTTTGCAAAAACCTGGAGAGTTCATGCAATTTTCAAAAATGTAAAAATGAAGAAAAAGGTGAGGAAACAACTGTTCTTATCACAGATATGATTAAGCTGTTATCTGCACTATTGTTATACCCCCTAGATACCCATACTTCCACTGATGCTGTGGAACACTGTCCTCCCTTTCAGAAAAATATCATATTGAAATACACTGAATAGTCAACATTTGTGTCCCTTTTTTCTTTATATCCCCTTCGTAGCCTCTATATCAGAGGTTCTCAAATAGTGATCTACAGAGCCCTCCGTGGTTTTCCATGGAATAAACTGTTTTTGACAATCAAGCAGTAGACTTTGAAAGGATCCACGAGTCCAAGAGAGGGACATATATCTACAAAGTGGTTCACAAAATGCAAAGGTTGGGGAAACCCTGCTCCTCACTAGTTTATAGCCTATAGTTTGTGAAGTTCCTCCAGTATCCATAAATTTCCAGGGAGCAGATCCTCAACTGGTGTAATATGTCTTGGCTCCATTGAATCCCATGCTCTGGGTGTCCCTAAGTCTCTGACTGCCACATGTTGGGAATGGATGGATCCTTTGATGATTACTTGTTTTGTTCATTCCCTTGGAAACATCTGGCATTGGCCACTGTCGGAAGATGGGATATTAGGCTAGATGGACCTTTGGTCTGACCCAATATGGCCATTCTTATGGTCATATTAAGTCAGTTTGCACCACCTGGAATATAAGTGTTGCCAACAAAAGTTTCTCATAGCTTGCTAGGAGGGGATGAGATAGAGTACTTGTAGGATTTTGTTGTTCTAGTTTTGATTGGAAAGGCATAGGCAGTGACCAAGATCAGTCAGAATTGAGCCACAATAATGCTTTACTTTACCGCGTTATATATGAATTCGTGTTATAGCGAATCACGTTATATCAGGATAGAGGTGTATAGAAAAGCCAAGCTAGAAATACAGTAGTTCAGACCTTTATCTAGTACAGGGATCGGCAACCTTTGGCAAGTGGCCTGCCAGGGAAAGCCCCTGGCGGGCCAGGCCAGTTTGTTTACCTGCCGCATCCGCAGGTTCGGCTGATCGCAGCTCCCACTGGCTGCGGTTCGCCGCTCCAGGCCAATGGGGGTTGCGGGAAGCGGGCGGGCTGAGGGATGTGCTGGAGCGGCGAACCGCGGCCAGTGGGAGCCGCGATCGGCCAAACCTGCGGACATGGCAGGTAAACAAACCTGCCCGGCTCACCAGGGTGCTTTCCCTGGTGGGCTGCGTGCCAAAGGTTGCTGATCCCTGATCTAGTATGTGGCATCTCATGTTTGGATTTCTATATTGTTGTTTTTTCTAATATGGTTTCTTTACACATATGAAATGTTAGATGGTTTTCTTTAAAAACAGAAGACTAGGGACACTAGCTAGGGAGCGCTCTGAGGTACTACAGATAATTCTTTTCCATGTGTCCAGCTAGTGGTTGTTGCCCACATGCTCAGGGTCCAACTGACCGACATATTTGGGGTTGGGAAGGAATTTTCTCTCAGGTCAGACTGTCAGAGACCTGGGATGTTTTTCGACTTCCTCTGTAGCATGGGGCATGGGTTACTTGCAGGTTTAAACTAGTGTAAACGGTGGATTCTCTGTAACTTGAAGTCTTTAAACCACGATTTGAGGATTTCAGTAACTCAGCCAGAGGTTAGGGATCTATTACTGGAGTGGGTGGGTGAGGTTCTGTGGCCTGCAATATGCAGGAGATCAGACTAGATGATCGTGATGGTCCCTTCTGGCCTTATAGTCTATGAGACTCTATTAAGTATCAGAGAGGTAGCCGTGTTAGTCTGGATCTGTAAAAGCAGCAAAGAGTCCTGTGGCACCTTATAAACTAACAGACGTATTGGAGCATGAGCTTTCGTGGGTGAATACTCACTTCGTCAGATGCAGACTCTATTAAGTTACTCATTTTGTTGGGAAAATATGAATGGAAATTAGAATGAAAAAACAAAGCTGACAAACTATTAGCCATTGTAGAGCTAAAATCAGCCACCATACACAATTCTATACATGCAATTGTAATATTTATGCTAAAGAAGGAAAAAATAGAGCCACATAAACCTGAGAAAGGGGAAAGTTATCTGGAAAATGCACAGGTTCACCTTAAAGATTTTCCTATGCATGCCCTTTTCAAGGACCCTGCATTTTAAGAGTTAATAAAATACCTTATTATTTGTACTACAGGAGAACCTGGAGGTTCAATTGTGCTACTTATTGTATACATAGCTAGTAAGAGACAGACCATACTCCAAAGAGCTTGCAATCTAGATAGGCAGAGGGACAGTTATGTTCATTTTACAGATGGGGAAACCAAGGCACAGAGCGATGAAGTGACTTCTCCTAGTACACAGGAAGTCTGTTGACTTAGCCAGGAATTGAATCCAGAACTCGTGAGATCCAGTTTGGTGCCTTGACCACAAAAACACTTCATTACTTCTTATATTTTGGTTCTGAACCAGAGTTTTCGATAGGTATTTTTATTCAGTGCAGAATATTTTGAATGACGAAAACAATTAAGAGCCAAATTATGGGTGTACTGGCTGGGATGAGAGCCCCTTCCCTCCTTAACACTTCCATACAGAGGGCCACCATAATGTGCATACTTATTCTAGCTGAGTCCAAGGATCCATTTTCCCAGAATTGAATTCTTGCTGCACAAAACAATGTTTCTCCAACATCTGAACAACTATTCTGTCCACTGAAGTCCACTGCTCAAGGTTCTGCTGGTATAACTGAAAACAGAATTTGGCTTCTCATCCTTATTTCTAATATTGTCTTTATATTGTAGATTTTATCGTTTGCACCAAAATATGTCATTTCAAAAGGTCTCTAACAGGAATGAATCATTCAATCGATTGGGCTTTCATTAAGAAGTCACTTTGCCCTCTAACAAGCCATTTGCCTTTAGACAGTCAAATGGTCCCTCACCTCTGATATTCAGTGACTCTTGTCTGTTAATTATAGAATGGTGCATTCTACAGCCCTTACTCACCCACTGACTAGTATCTTTTTCCTCAGCTAGTCCCATCAGCTTCAGTGGGAGTATTTACACAGCAAGGTACTACTTGGACAGAGTAAGGGTGGCGGGATCTAACATGTAGTGAATAATTTGATTAGTCCAGTCATTGATTGACCATTGTGCATTAAACATTTACGTTTTTTTTAATAAAAGCACAGTAGTGGGGGTTGGAGAATGTCTTCAAATACCTAAATGTTGCCCAATAAACTGCTTTATCTTGAGAGATGCTGGAAATATTAAGGGCATCTCAGTCAAAACATTGGATTGCAACATAATTTACCTGCCCTATGAATCAAAACGACGTTTGTTTCACAATATTAATCACTTCCGTTCCCTTCCCTTGTCCTTTCTTATTTTGGTTTCCCATTTCAGAGTTTGAGACGTAGAATCCTTAAAAAGAGGACTATTTACTGACAAGAAAATGCAAATTAGCTAATTAGTTGTCCACACAAAATGTTTAATTGTACTGTGTTTTCCATTTTGGTTAACCGAGATAGATAAGCTCTATTTAAGACAGGAGAGATGACTCAGAAACATGAAGTTCTTTTCTTGTACCATATGGTTTCCAGCAGGGACAGTACAATGACCGGCATTGTAATTCTACTTCAGATTTGAGAGTGGGAATTTATTGTTGTCCCCAAAATAGAGTAACGGTAGCAGTAACCACTGAACTGACAGAAAATACTCTATTGCCATTTTCGATCAGATTTGGCTTACAGACAGTAGATTTAAAAAAAAAAATTATCCAAGCCTAAGTCATACGCATTATAGCAAACCAAACAAGTTGAAACTCTAATATTTTTAACTTGACAAATAACGGATATATCTTAAATGATTTAAATACCCTTTTGTTTAATACTTTATGGATAGTTCAGGATCTATCTATTCATAAATGTCCAGCTTCAATAAAATGTTGCTTTTAGGTACATTACCTTGTCAGTCATCATGGATAATTTAGGCTGAATATAAGGACAATATTCTTAACAGTGAAATCTATTCGATTGTGAAATAGGCTCTGCATAGTTCTAGAACCCGTCACTTGATTCATTTAAAGGTAGACTGAATAAAACAGCAGCGAAGCGAATATAATGAAAGGAACCATTCTGCATTAGTAAGGAGGACAAGTTTACCTAATAATTTTATTTCTACCTTTAATATATATGGTGCAGTCTATAAATAACTTTTTGATTTGTTTATATATTGACAGATTACTTTCTCCTTCTAAAAAACTGTATAGAATATGAACTCATATACTCAAATATACCTTATAGTAATGACATTTTTGTCCTGCTGGTTTGGAGGTTATATGGGGTACCACCATAACATATTGTATGACACAACCAGCTTGCACACAATGATCCCTTCTGGCCACTGAATCTAACAACCAATAACTAGACCGCAGGGGCGGCATTCAGCAGCAGAACATATTTTAACTTATATTTTTAAAATTCTTTCATTTTTATGAAATTCTAAGGCACTTTCTGATTTGCTAAAAACATTCCTTTGATCTGAGAAGCAGATGGGAACCAGATGTTCCCTGCTTACTCTGCAGCTCCATACCTGCTTTCTGACACCTCCTGCCCCACCTCAGGCCAGGGAAGGGTAAAGATGCTGGCCCTGGCCCCTTCTTCAGAGCCCTGAGATAGATGGTGAGGCCCTTGGAATATCCCATCCCTTGATGTGGCTGCTCTCTGGGACCCACCCAATTCCTAACCTAACTCTATGGGTACAGATAACCATCTTGCAGCAGGATTGGTGTGGTTCCACTTCCTGATGATTTTTTACTCTGTGGGGGCTCTATGTGTGGCTGTGAGAAGAGGGGACAGGGATAGAGTGGGGTGCTTTGCCAAAGGACCGTCTGGTTTTTCCCCACCACTTTCATATAGTGCTAGAGCAATACAATAGCTTCCACACTGTGGCTGCACTCTTTGTAGCTGGTGAGGCTAGTGGAATTTGTCCCTGCCTACAACATTCAGCTATCCTCTGTACCCAATCAAAATAATCATA